AACTACCTGCCCAAAGCCAACAACATCAACAAGAAGAACAACGCCAGCCACAGAACGCAGCCCATCAAACAGCAGCTCAAGTAGTAACAGGAGCAGCATAGCTAGCAGCAACAGCAGCGGCTACTGCGTTAGTAACTTAACGTACTTTCAAAATTTTATTCATTCAATTCAACGTCATTTTTTGCATTTATTTTCTTTTATTTCCGGGTTAATTCTCAAACTAATTAAAATTATCATTGTGAACAAAATCATTTTATAACCCGCAGAGATGACAGGGTAAGGGTCTGCCCATAAAAGATGTCACGCTTTTATTAGCGATTTTTGACTCAATTGTTTGACCACCACTCCTTTTGAAAATTTCCATTCAGTTGCTAACAATTTAAAAAATTTTCATGTAAATTATCAATATCATAACTAATGACTGATAAGCAAAAACTATATTTAATAGAGTTTAATACAAACGAGCATTATATTGTATATGAGTACATAGTGTGCGAAAGAATTATTACGTTTATCTTTTTTCAATCGCTAGTTGCTAATGATTTGAAAAACACCCCAAACTTCACATCATCATTACATGACACGACAAAATCTGTTTTCCGCCGTTACAGCATCCTGTGTCATGTGGAAAGAAATGTATTTGATTAATAAAATATAATCGCGATTAACGAAAGAGCTGCAAATTTGGGATTAATTGGGCAATTAATCTATTGAAAACCGCTTATAAGGTTTTGAAACCAACGCGCAAACTAGCATACGTTTAAGAAGCTGATGTAAGCGCGATGATAGGCTTTTTTACTTATTTCCTTTTATGTTGTATTTACTTTTTCAATGGGATACTTATGAGTAAACAACCCTTTCTGGATTACTTTATTTTTTTTTTAATTTAACCTTTGTTACCAATTTAGTAACAAAGGTTATATATATATATATTTCAAAAGTTTTAAAATTTATTCATAATCAACAACATATAAGATGAGTGAATAAAAGTTAAGAAGTTGAATATGTGGAAACTGAATAAGACTGCATATATATATATACAAAAAGTTAGCTAAATTGGAAGTTAACCAACGTGCCGAACATGCTGTGATTTTCACAATAATTGCATTTCTGACATTTCTGATATATATATATATATATATATATATATATATATATATATAACTAATGCAGTAATATATGAAATCTACCAAATTTCTAGCGATGGATAGAAACATGCACTGAAGATGATCTATGAAAAGTCGAAATGAGCCCTTATCTGCATGATGAATTCGGATAACAACAATTTATTTTAATTTTCATGATGAACTTGGATAATTCTATTTTCAACAAATTGAACAATTTCCAGAAAAGTCTAATAAGGAAGATTGAAAAGACAAACTTTACATTGATTAATACCAGCAATTCGGTAGAATTTATACAATATTATATATATATTGAAACAATCTTTTATTCAGCAAAATATCACAATAATAAATTACTAGGAGACCAGAAATTTTTACTTGCTAGGTATATATATATATATAATATATTGCCTTACACACACACATATATATATATATGTATTATATATATATATATATATATATCTTGCCTTATGCTTTTTGGTAACAATAATATGCATATACTATATAGATATATACATGCAATATTTGATAAAATCTACCGACTTTTTAGCTAAAAATCTAACGAATTTCTAACTGGTCGTTGATAATTTTTTAAAGGCTGGAAGACCATATATGATGCAATACAATGCAGTGCCTTTACTTTACTTTGTAAAGGCAGACAGATAGCAGAGAAAGAGAGAGAAAGAGAGGAGAGAAAAAGAGAGAGAGAGTTATCGTGTGTTAATTGGCATTTTGATTTGTTATAACACTCAGCGATTAATACCTGTACGTGTGCAAAAGTAATAAAAGTTGATACAAATTGAACACAACACAATCGAATCATGATTAAATTTGCGGACGGAGTGACCACAACATTAAATAAATGTTTCAATCACTTGTTTGTTGAATAAGAAGCAGAAGAAGAAGAAGAAGAAGCAGCTGGAAAATATAATACCTTTAAGGGAGTCTGCATTTTCTGGTTGTACCACCTACTTGCCGTTTACTAAAAATCGACTTATACCTTCATTTAAACAGTAACTGAATTAATTAATTTTAGTTTTTTTTATTCATTACAAACCACTCTCTCTTATATATATATATAATCATATATATATTATATCATTATTAACCTCTCTTATATATATATATATATATATATATATATATATATATTCCAGAGGCATCAATCCAGTTCAGTAAATACAGCAACACAGCACACACGTTGTATATGATAAGCGGGGTTTTTTCGTAATCGAATCCGGTCACTGTAACATTAGGCCAGGCACCCTACCTCTACACCATCACGCCGCTCAGATCATGCATAATTGTGCTAATGACGATCTCTTAAATTGAAATGAGCCAAATAATTAAATTAATAATAATTTTTAAATTTTAACAAGTTTTCCAGACTGGCGACACATAAAAAACGCTAGCTTTATGTTAATATAATGGGATGTGCTGTAATGTGATGGCAATGTTGCATAATATAAACACGATATAATGCAATATAGCGTAATGTAACATAACGAAACATACCATAACATTATTAAATTGAACTTGGGTGTGCCTGGTCACAATGATCACAATCTTCTGTCAACGTTAAATAACTTTTGGTCAAAATGCTTATTTTGAATATGTATAAATATCAACATTTAATGAGAATATGAAGTAAACCCACAGATCATTTTGAATGTGGCGCTCACTAATGAAGCAAAAACAATATTGTAATTATCGCCATTATCATTGCTAATGAGAATGGAATTTGTGTTCTTAAGATAGGAAATGCCTAACAGCTTCTAATTTGTTTATATGAGATGTCCTATGCGTTAACACTTCAAATTTTGCCTGATGTTTTCTTGAATTTTTTATTGTTAATTAAATAGAGTTGTTGTTTTAAATTGAACAATAACGAAACAAATGGGGAACAAGCAATGTTATAACTGTAAACAAGTTTGTGTGAGTCTCCGTTCAGTTCTTTGTTGTTGATCTCAGCAGGCCTTCTAAGCATTTTTTATAACAATTCAGATATATTATAAAAAATATTTGGACTGTCATTCTGATAATTTTTTTCTAGTTCATCTGTTTATTTAGTTTATTACAAAAGCATATCAATGAGAGAAATAATCTATTCAGTTTATTTTATTAGTTTATTTGTATTTAATTTATTATATAGCTTTTTCCATCAATAATGTACAATTAAATGGAGTGATTTAATGCATGCGTGGTAGTCGTTGCATACGTTAGTTGTTGAAGGCGTTTGCCCTGTCGACGGCTCTCATCTCGTTTGCTTCAGCGTACGATATTTAAAAACAAAATCACCCACAATCTTTATGAAGTGGCGTAATAAGATTTACAAATTTAAAATTATTACAGAAACTTTTTTTTGCATATAAATATATATTTAAATTATTTCTCATCGGGATTTGTGCATTTAGATGATTATTTTCTGCGCTAGTTATAGCTGTTAACTGGCTTTCTATATTTGTTATATACACACTCACACAAAATACACACACTCATATATATATATATATATATATATATATATATATATATATATATATATAATTGCAGAGCGCTGGAGTATTACTGCAACATCCGTTCCACCAATTTCATCATCAGCCTCCTCCATTGGCAGCAACGACCTCTTCAGTCCATCCGTCAGCAGTTCGTCGCACATCAAATCAGAGTAATGCATCGGGTACGTCAACGTCGCCATCAGCCCAACGTCTTGCATTGCAAAGTTTGAAAAGTCCAGACGTCAGTGTGAATGGCGGGTGTGTGAATGAAGAAACTGACGAGAATGCAGCTCAAGAACATGGGACCGCTGATCTGTACCAGCAAGGAAGGAAGGTTGGCTCATTTCTTCATACCGTGTCCTTTCAGCAATGTTCATGACAATTTCTATTAGGTACTAAATTATTTAACATAATACATAGATTATTATTTAAAAATAATTGACTTAATTAACCAATCGTTCAGCTATTTAATTTTCTAATTTGAATAAAATCCTCTGACAAATCTTTTATCAAAAATTAATTTTGTGGTAAGAAAATAGTATTATAGACATAAATAATGGACATTCTAAAAACTTATGAAGCTTAGCACTATTGTAAGAATAATCTTCTTTGTGAGATTTTTAAACAAATTATTTTTAAAACAAATTATTGAAAAGTATTAGAGTTAATGTTGAGTTAACAGCTCACGATAAAACTATTGTTTCGTCTTCAAAAGTAATTTAAAAATAATTTATTTTGGCATAATAATATCATTGTTCATTTTCAATGCATGATATTTTTGGAAGTTAATTTTTTAGAATAACGAATAATAAAGCTAAAATACATCAGTGTAGTCAAATAACATTCGCGTAATATTGATACGTATTAATTTGAAACAAAACTTGCATTACTTTCATTGCTGGAACGAATCATATCATTAAACAGCAAACTGACGTTGAAACAAAACATGACAATTAATTACGTTCTCCGATGCAGTAAAGTACAGCGTTAATTGTTCGGGATTGTTTAGTTTATTTTAATGTTAAAAGTGAATTGCTTTCTGAGTGGCATGGAATACTTAACCCAGTTGTTTTTCTCAAAATTTATTTCGTTTTAGTCTCTGAATTGTTGGAAAATATTAACAAATGTTATTTCACTACATTTTTGCTTTTCCTATGTTTATTTCCTAAAATTTTGATATGCTAATTTAAATTAAAAAGAATTGGAATGCGCTCTAAATTTGTTAATTAGTTGGTGCGCAAAATGTCTCATTCTACCACTTTATACAAACTAAGAATAATTTGAAATATTTTTCTCCATTTGACCGTAAATGTTTGATGGCTTGCGTCTTCTTATTTCAATGAGTAGTTTTTCTTGCCGACACCACTTTCAAATAATTTACTTGATTAATATTTTTACAGCTCCGGCTATTAAGTGTTTGTCCTAGATGTAACGCAAAACACTAAAAAAATTGCCGCAAATCGCACAATGAAGTTTACCGCTCTTTTGTACATCACCTTCACTCCTAAGTTTTATTAATCACATCTTATTAAAAGCTTTCAACTAATTCGACAGCTTATTTTTTTACTTTTATTTGTTCTCTGTCATTACTAACCATGGTATATAACACAGATTTAATTCGCAGTTACATGCTACTAGAAAGCTCGATCGCCATAATGAAATAAAAATTTCAATTTTAAGCATATAACTTATGTTTGATATTAATCTACACACTAATATGATTTATATACCAGGAAGCAGAACTGTTGTACAAATGGTTGGAAAGTATCAACCAGACCGACTGTTTCCACCTGTTTCTGCAGTCCGGTTACGACATGCACACAGTATCCAGGATGACACCCGAGGTAGCCCGCCTTGTTATTTACTTCGTTTCATAATTATGTAAAAGGCATTCATTTGATAACAGAAACTGTTCTTTAAAAGTGATTAGCCAGTTGAGTGATAATACTTTTAAATATTTGGTCGTTTTTAACAAAATAATTGTTTTCTCAGATTTAAAACATGCAACGTGTTGGTTGTTTAAGATAAAACATTGCTTTTGTTTAGTGGAACTGAAATTTTTTTGTTCTTATATACGACAAAACGTTCACAACAAAACATGGAGTGGAACTTTTAGCCACCGATCCATTATGTTGCGGTTTCTCAGTTTCTCATTGGAAAAGTTTTATGATATTGCACATGCTTCTAGTAATAAAACCTAATGTTTAAGAATGACTGGCATCAAAACAATAAAAGGACAAGAAAATTAGCAGCTCAAGTTCAAGCAGTTTAAATTATCTTTTTTCTGAACTTGCAATAGGATGACAGTGCTTCTGCACTGAATAACTTATAAACAATGTTGTAACCTACAGCTAGTAGGTAGGTCAAACTCAATCGCAAACATTTTAAATTTGAGAATGGAAATAAATGCTTTAGCGTTAAAATTAGGGAAGTTGCAGAAAAATTATACGATTACCACTAAAAAATGTTATAATACAGATATATAATAAATAATGCATGATTTTACTAAGAAGAAGATAGCAGTTTACAAATGATTTGATGTTTTATCGCAAACCAGTAGATTCTAAAAATTGTAATGCTAAGGTTAAACAACAAAAATTGAAGTTGAGTCTAAATCAAACAAAAATCAAGAATGATAATAATCCGTTCTGAATAAAGGATGTCTCATAACTTCCACTTCTCACTATTTCCAGATAAATGTAATATTTTCTAGTCGTTGCTTTTTTTACTTACTGGTTGTTGTTTTAGTTTTAGGCGCTCCGAGTTGCATAATTTTTTTAAAACAACATTTACACGATATTTAAAAAATATAAATTCAATAATAGTTAAACGATGTCCAATTATATCAAAACTTTCAAAAAGCATTCGATTGCCCCAAATAAATATTGAAAAAAATGTTGAAAATGTATTTCGATGTATTTCCCAAGAAAGTTCTCACACATAACGAAAAATTTATATAGATTTTAATCTCTTTTTTGAAAAACAGGATTTAACAGCAATTGGAATAACATTTCCATCTGTCAGAAAGAGATTGGCAATAGAAATAAGCAGACTGCAGATCCCTGATGGTATACCAAATTTCTGGCCGGTTGTTATTTACATCTTCATGAAATGCGTTCTTTGACCATCAAATTCTAGATTAATCTAGTAATAAAAATTATGACCAGTCCATGATAAAAACAATGAACATAAAATTTAAATTTTTGTTTTCAAAAATGGTTCAAAAATATATTTTTTTGTATGTAATAGTTATGTTAGTTAAACTTAAGAATTAACAATTATGAAAAATATGTAGCAATATATTAGTAGACCTAGTGTCATTAACCGTTATTGAGAATGTATCAGTACGAAAGCATTTCGCTTTGGCTTATCTTACTATTTTCAATTTTTCGATCTCTAAAAATTAATGAATCAAAATATATAGCAGAAAAATATAATATTGCAAATCGCAGTCCAGCGTACAAGAATGGTTACAATATATTCATCTCCAGTGCTATTATGACACTTTAATGAAAGAAAACTATACAAACCTTGAAAAAGTTATGGAAATCACTTGGGAAGATTTGGAAGATATTGGCATAAAACAACTCGGTTACTTTTTTCATTTCATTTAACAAAGTTATTAAAAATGTACTATGATATCGAAATAATACAACTAACATTTTGAAAAACTTGTTAAATTTTTTTGCTTGAATATTCAATAAAAATGGCAATACAATTTTCACAAAACTCTTGATCTTATAATTTTACTTTTATAAAATTCATTTAGGCCACCAAAAAAAGATAATTTTGGCTATAGACAAACTCAAAAAAATTCACGCGAGTAAAATAATTTCATCGTCATATTCTTCAACAACGACCCCATTTCCCAACAATCTTTTTCAATTAGAAAATTCCATGCAATCTTTCAGAAAAAATAGTCCATTAGCGTGTCATGAGTTGATTGTAGAGCAAATTGATGCAAAAAATAGAAATAAAGAAAAAAAGTTGCCAATAACACTAAGGTCTCCAGAAATAGTCCACTTAAAATCAATAGAAATTCCTGCTCCTGAAATTGTCGCTATACAGGTTTGTCTTTTACCAAATCACATAAATAATTTTGTTATTTAACTATAATTTGTTACTAACAGGTGAATAATAGATCATGGCCTGTTGTACAACAGCAATCATCACAACAACAATTAGATGATGAAGCTTCAAATAGTAAACAACTATCAAAATATGAATCGTTTCACGGGTGTTCTTCTAAAGACTTCACAACTTTATTGAATGATTCTTCTTTGGTGTCCCCAAATCAATCATCCACAAACAATATATTTTACGTTTCCAAGGAATTATCTAATTCAATTTGTAGTTACGAGCCACCTCTTTCACCTGCACCTCAGTTTCAGCCATTTTCTGCATCTCCTAGTATAAAAATGAGACCACAAGTTGCTCCGAAGCCGAATTGCAGCCGTGTTAGACGAGCTAGTGGAGGTCCTGTAATTGGAATTAATGTCAATGCAAACACACCAACATCACCATCATTTGTTTCTACTCTCAAGAGACAAAATTCCTGTCAAAGTCAACTGATTGCAAGCCAATCGACGCCGAATCAAATTGAAAATATTAATATAATTTATGCACATAATCCCTCAGACCAAAAACTTCTAGCACACAATTCAATAGACAACCTCAGCACTATTTGTTCAGAATATTGTTCTCAAAAATCTCACCCACCAGCACCACCAAAGCGAACAAATTCCATAAAAAGCGATTTAAATTATTTGTCGAAAACCAATTGTGTTAAATCTACAAATGAAGTAGACAAATGCAATAAAAACAGTCCGTGTAAGATGACTGCTCACAATCAAGGCTTTTACAATGAATCACCTGAGGCAAAATTGCCACCGCTGGCTAAAGGATTGAGTCGGACAAAACCTCTTACTGATGAGCCAGAAAATAAATTTCCTTCAATGCCACTTACTGCAAATGTTGTGTCACCATCACCTGATTCACCGCTGCATTCTCCCCCTCAACAAACCATTCAATTGTCTTATTATTCAGATAACAATACTCTACCTTTTGCTAACGACAATGTTGGAACAATCAAACAAAGACAAAACAAATCTTCTGAAAATGAAAATTTCGGTGCAAATACAAATGGTAATTTTTTTTTTCTTCTTTTTTTGTAGTTTAATTCATGTTATGGGTTTTAACCAAAGATATAGAAAACTCATATATCTATCATTTATCTATCACCGTTTTGATATCGTGGTTAGTATTTATATTTGTCCTCAGGAGTCAATATTTGTTTACTTTATACGTTATCGTTATCGCATAACCGCTTTCATTGCATTTGTGTTTCTTACCTAATTATTTCCAGCTTTAAAATTTTTTCGAGTTTTAGATTTTGGATCAGCACTTAGGTATCTTCTTATATATATATATATATATATATATATATATATATATATATATATATATATATATATATATATATATATATATATATATATATATATATATATATGTATGTATATATATAATGTTTGTTGTNTGCCAAACATTCGGTAAAAGTTATAAACGAACTACAAACATATTAACGCCAAACATTCGGTAGAATTTATAGAATATTGTAAAAATTATAGTCTATTACCAACATATATATATATATATATATGTATACATATTTAGGAAGGAGGTTTTTTTTATGCAAACGTCATCGAAGATAAATGCCTATTTTCCATTAATGACTTTCTTTATTAAACACTCAACACATGGATTTATTGAATTTATATTTATTTAAAATATTAGGCATGGTGAGGCTAACAGCGCTGTTTCGGATAGTCCACCGTCACACAACATTTATACACAAAAAATAATCGTTAAATAATTAATTTAACAACTATTTAATAACGCCATTATCGCTAATATGTTATCTCCATGAAAAAAATTATCTTAAACATAGTTCAATTATCCACTAGCGAAAAATTCACTACGAATTCCCACTTTTCTGTTTCACAAAAACAAAAAAGCATGAACAAAACTACAATACCTACTGAATAATAACAATAATTAAAAAAAAACAAAAAACAGCGAACCAGGTATTAACCGGATTTATAAATTCCGATAATATATATATTAGAATGTGACTCTCAGAAATGCATTTATTGATGAAAATCACAGCATGTTCTACATTAGTTAGCTTTCGATTTTTTTAACGGTAGATCGTAAATCATTGTCAAGTTTTTTGAGTTCAAAACCAAAATTTTTGTTTATTTTAAGCATGATAGAACAAAAAAGCTTTTCTCGATATTCCTACACCATCTACGGTGTTCGAATTGATATGTTGTGTATGTTGCCAGATACTCAAGTATATATGTACTGTGTCTCTACAGTGTTAATTCTTTGTTTAATGTGAATACTCAACGGCTCACGGAGAAAACTCACGATGCACGTACAAGCTGGTGCTACAAAGAATCACATGAAAGAGAAACACAAAACTAAAATTTCTAGGCAAATCTTGGACAACAATGTTGAAATCTTACATTATAATAACAACCATTACGAATTACGACTAGCCGAATCAATACTCAGAGAACAAAGACATTCGATAATAAATATTCAACAACTTGCAATTGGAATCCTTACCACTAATAAATTCAGAAACAGAGAAATCACCGATAACGATGACACGTAAAAGTGTTATATTGCAAAAAGTTGAAGATCGTAATAACTAAATGATAATTCCCTTAAAGAGACGAAACACGTCTAGCCCAAAACTAACTTGTATTATTTATTCATTCTTTCTTTATTGTTTTTTAAATAAATTTCTTGTTAAATATCTGTTAATTAAATACACAATCTGTTTCACAATAGGTAGCCCTGCAAAACCATTGGTAAAGCCCAAACCAAAAGTTCCTGCCAAACCGAAACAAAAGTAAATATTTAAAAAAAATTATTTGCCGTACTTTTGAAAAATTTAAATAGTTATTTAATGTTAATTATTACAATTTTTCTATAATAAATTTTAATAATAATGTTTGATATAACAATTCAAACAGTTCCATTGTCTTAGTAACATTTTTGATATTATGTTACAACTTTTTTCTATTAGAAATGGAAAAGTTGAAGCATCATCAACATTGTAATTTTTTTGTTTAAACCTTTCGTGTTGTTTTTCAATTTGAGATAAAACTACCCAATTGATCATTGATATTAAGTTTGTATTTGTTTCGAATTTGCGCAGTGTATCATCCGCTAAGTCAAGCCACAATGCAACGCAACATGCAGTAACTCCACAAACTGATCAGTTGAATTGCCAAAGTGTCTTCGACGACATTGACAACTTGTTCCAAGGCCTAACAAAAGAATTGAATGATTTACTTATCGGATAATATCAAGAAAATTTTCTGACCACATAAATTTATATTTTTAAATTTAAGATCTTCAGCATTTCAGTTATATAATATTCTCTTCTAAAATTTATCATTTCTAATAGTTTTTACTTGGAAAATTCAAATTATTAAATATTCTTTCATTTTGTAAACGTGAGAATCAATTTCTGTACGCGTTCATGTATGTTTATATTTGCATAACATTTTCAATTTTTTATTTATTTTTGGGACCAAGCAAGACAGAGCAAAAAATGTTTGAAGAATTTTGAGTCATTGCAAAATGAAAATCCAATAAATATTCTGCATTCTTGTTTTAATGTTATGAATGAGGTATGTCAATGTTTCAAACTAAAAATTAAATGATCAAAATAAACGAAAATTTGCACGTACATGGATGTATAAATAGACTTTGAAAAAAGACAGTTGTGACACAATTTTAATAAAAAAGTTGCAAAATTTCTTCGTGGAGTGGATCATCTTGTTTCAGAAACAAAAGTGTTTCTCGATAGCACAGGAGGCATTGTACCATGGATATATATAATATATATTATATCCATGATTGCAACCGTAAGCTTTCTTGTGTTTAAGCTGGTGGCGGTACAGCAGTGCTAACCACCGCATAGCTGACTCGCTTTTAGTATGGTAAATTAAAACAGTCGATTATTTTAAACATGTTTTTTAATTTAAACAGCCTCTAACATTATTACCTCTTATTATTATTATTAAAAAACCCTTCTGAAAAACTTTTGTAAATTTATTAACCAACATATATATTTTTTTTATTAAATGTGTGTTTAAGATGATCTCTCAAAAATCATTTCATTGGTATGATCCATGGATATAGTGGATATGGCACAAGAATCAATTCCTGGCTGATAATTTTTTTTAGTTCTATGGAATAGAATAATTTGAGCGTAAACATTTCTTCGTTGTAGTTGACATTTCGTTTTACTGTTTTAAAATTTAAATTTAATCGCCTACACGAAGTTTTCGTTTTTTTATATCATAACATTTAAATAAGTCGCTTTTTTCGTCTCTATCGACTTAGTTATCAAATAGAGGTTGTTTGTTGAAAATAAAATGATTTTAGATTTTAATTCCGGAAAATTTATGGCAAAATGTAAGGATGTTCATATTTATTTCAATATTTGACATTCATACATTTTGCTCAATTGTCCTGGAAATAAAACATCTTTTGGATGAATCTACTACACATACACTTTGATACATACATTCATCCACCTGGATTAATAACAAGTGCAGTTATCTTCAATGTCATAAAATTGTCAATTTTTTAAAATCTGAACAAATGTTATAAAATAAAGGTTTAATTCAGAATTTAATGACAAATTAATCACTATGATTCAGGATTTTGGCAAATAAATGGATTATTTTTATTATTGACATTTATACATTTTGTTCAATTTTTCTAAAATGAAACATCTTTTGGATGATGCTAGAAGCTAGAGGCTAACCGTTATTTTATATGTACATGTAGTGGTGCTAAAAATCAAGGCACAATATGTTCCAATAAATTGTTAAGTTGTTCATTGAAAAAAAGAAAATAAATGGACTAAGTGATATATGAAGACATAAATTTTAAAAAACGTAAATGGCAAAAACAAAAAAAATTACTGACCCTGCATAAAATACTATTAATATAATGAACTTAGTTGAAACTGATCGACATGGAATTTAATTAAAATCAATCAACTATTTAGTATAATTAAACATTATTATATTTCATAATATAAAAAATATGTATATGTATAAAATTATTATTGCTAATTTATTATGCTCAAATACTGTTGGAGTGCAGTGAAGTTCAGAGTAATAAAAAATAATTATTATTGAGAAAATTATTTTCAAAACATTTTACAAAAATATTTACATTTTTAATGAAATAAATGTTTGTTAAATTTGCAGATAAAAAATTTGTAAAATACATAATACATCATATCCTTTTGACAATACTTAGATTTAAACTTATCAATATAAAAATAAAAAATACTAAAAATAAAAATAACGTCTTACATTTATCTGAAAGCATTGAAACTTTTGTATAATAGCTGATAAATTATAAATTAATAAATGCCCATACCTTTTTATGTTTTTAACAAAGGGGTTAA